GAGGGGGGAGGGGCTAAAATTTATGTTAGATTCAAAGGTATACAAATATCATAAGTCTATACCAATCTAAGTAAACAATAGAACTTCAATATATATAAATCATATGGTTTGCACTAGTGGACCAAAAGAAATCTAAGAAAATAATGCATATTGGTTTTAATAACTCATACCACACTTGGGGGTGCCAAGTAAAATTAGGAAGAACAAATCCTCATAAGGGGAGGACAAATTAAAAATTCTATGCACTAACACTAATGTGATTGATGTGAACTGACATAAGCACAAACTTCCCTACGGTGTATCAGTGTATCACCTTTAAGGACGGCCTTATACTCTTTATAACAAACATTGTGTGGTAGAGAACAAATCATCGTGGCTAGATAAACTACCAAAAAGTAAAAAGGATCCATTCAGGGGTACATATATAGAGGGATATTTATAGGAGGTAGGGAGGCTCCTCCTGTGCAAAATTCAATCATAGTACTTATTCAAGTATTGCCCATTGAACTAAGTCGCCAACCTAGAAAGAATGGGGTCGAGCAAGGCGATCATGTGACCGGGCCATACGGGCTTGGTATAGTTTGAGGTTATAATGAGCTTATAAATAGAACTCTTTTAAACCATCAAGCTCTTCCAACCATAGTCTTGCATTATCTTCATGAGAAAGATTAAGACTAACTGCCACCCATAGCGAGGGGAGCTCGACCTCAACTAGGAGGACTTCTTCAACCCCAAAAGCCAAAGCATATGGGGTAGATAGGGTAAGAGTATGGTAGGTAGTCCTATAGGCCTAAAATGCCTCGGGTAATCTATCTTGCCACTCTCATTTATTTGCAATAAGGATTTTCCTTATCAGTTGCATGAGAGTTTTATTAAATGCCTCTGCCAAGCCATTAAATTTAGAGTAGTAAATTGAAGACTATTGCCAATTAATGTTATGGTGGCGGGCAAATCTGATAATTTTGGTGCTTCTAAATGACAGCCTGTTATATGAGATTATATGGTGCAGAACACCAAAGAGGTACACAATGTGATCGTAAAAGAAGCGCATCACATTTTCTAATTTGACTTCCTTAAGTAAGATAGCTTCCGCCCACTTAGAGAAGTAATCAGTGGCAGCTAAAATAAACCTATGACCCTTAGAGAAAGGAGGGTCAATAGGACCCACTCCATCCATGTCATAGCCTTCAAATGGCCAATGTGATACAATAGGGTACAACTAATTAGGGGTTTGGTGAATCACAATATTATGAATCTGGCACTAGTGGCACTATCTAGCATACTCTATACAATCATGGATCATAGTCGACAAATAGTATCAAAGATGCCTAATTCTTCCTTTCATTTTTTGTCCATACAGATAAGCACCGCAAAGCCCTTCATATATCTCTCCCATGACATTACGAGTCTCTTCACTATTAAAGTAACACAATCACATATATCTCTCCCATGACCTTACGAGTCTCTTCACTATTAAAGCAAAACTTCTATGTCCTGGTAGTAGAGAGAGTCTGGTATTTCGAGTGACAAGTTTTGAATTTTTAAATAGCGGGATTTGCGGATTTTGATGGGAACTAATGGTCTCCGACCACCACTGGCCAGTGTACCACCTAAGGATCGTCGATCATCTGGACGATCAATGTTTGGTGTTGTTCTTGGAGCTTCGGCATCTCCTCTAGCTTTCGGAGATGGGAGGATGTCGTTCAATGGAGCTAATGTCGAAATGAATAAGCCATTGATTATTAATGAGGGAGGATTGCTGGTAAATAAGAAGGAAGCTGATGTTGTTGTTAAAGGCAAAGGTATCTTGCAAGAAGACAATCTTGAAGGTTTCTGTTCAAATGGGATGGTGTTGCAACATAATGAAGATTCTGTAAAATTTCCTTCAACTATCTTGAAGAATGATGCAAATCATATATTTGACGTAGAAGAGAGATGTTTTGTGCGGAATGAGAAGGATGACAATCACTGTAAAAATGCAATTGAAGCTAAGGATTCTGATGAAATGGAGGAGTGAAGATTATTATACCTGAAGCTATTACAAATTCAGAATTGAATGAAGTTTGTAAATGTAGCAATGGAAACTTAGCTGGCTGTGACAATATGAATGTGGAAATGTCTAAAAGACTTGTACCTGGGAATCAACTTAATGCTTGGGAGAAGAAACAGAACAACAGAGTTGATGACATGGATTTCGGGAATTTTTTATCTGAAGATGGGAAATCTATCAAGCTTCATGAGCAGGTGTTAGAAAATTCTAAAAAACTGCTGAACTCATTAGTAGTAAAAGTTTTTGGTTATGAAATCCCTTTCTCTTCTATCAATTATGAACTGAGAAAATAGTTGTTAGTTTATGGAAAATTTAATCTTAGAGTGCTTGGGAGAGGATGGATTTTATGCTCATTTTATGACCCCAGCCATGTGGAAGCAGTTTTAACTAATTGTCCTTGGTTTGTAAATGGTAGTATTGTGAGAATTGATAGGTGGACGCAAAGTTTTAATCCAAATTCACTCAAAAGACTTATAGCTCCTATTTAGATTAGACTCCCAAACATTCCATTGCATTGTTGGGATGAAATCAACCTTTTCCGCAAAGCATCTATGGTTGGCAAGCCTTACTTGATCGACGGGAATATGTTTCAATGGTCAAGGAGAGAATTTGGAAGAATTTGTGTTCGAATTGAGCTAGATGCTAAATTACCTACAGGTGTTTGGGTAGAAGGAGAAAAACATAAATTCTATCAAAAGATAGAGTATGAGAGGATTCCTAGCTTATGCCATGATTATGGGAAGATTGGGCATAGCAAAAACAATTGTGCCAAGTCTATCATGAGAGTTTATTAGGGATGTTAAGCCCTATAGAACTAGCCCATGCTAACCAAGAGAGAGGTGAATTGGAAAACTTTAAAACCCAAGATAAAACTCCAACCAAAATCACCACAAAAAAAGAGCGGAAGAAAAATAAATGCGGAAGCGATAATAATAAAAGAACACACTGGATTTATAGTGGTTCGGTCAAACCTTGACCTACATCCACTCCTTGGAGGCACCCTCCAAGTATTGCACTAAAATCGTGACTCTCATTTAGCCCCCACAGCTAGGCGGACAAGCCCTTACAAAATCACTTCCACCTTCCCCGATTTGGCAGAGTCGCCAGGTCCTTTGACACCAAAGAGATCTTCTTCTTTGGTGAACTTACCTCGAGACAAGCCTTGAATCCGATGGTACTAAGGTGCGAGTTCGCCGGAGCAACCGTGTGGAATCCCCTCCACACTCCCTTGAGTTCCCCCCCTCACAGGATCTTCTCCCTCTCAAACTCCACCCTTTCCTATCTCCCTTTCAAGCTCTCTCTTTCCCCCATAAGAACAAAGCTACAATGGCTGCCAAAGACACTTACAAAGTGCCTTGCCATAGCTTAAAAAGAACTTCTCAAAATGAGCTCATTAATGTAAGTTGCCGACATTATCGTCCAGGATGATAGGCATATCGTCCTGGCCGATTAGTTCAATTATAAGGAAAATCATCCTGAATATTGCCCTGAAATGAAGCTGGATGATGTCTAATCGTCCTGGACGATCTTGAGATCGGCCTGGACGAAATCCCCATTAATTGCTTTCCAAAACTGCCTGAGAAATTTTGGAAAAATTGACCTGGATCGGCCAGGGCAATATTTTATATTCCAGGCCGATATACCAGGATGATATCCAAAAATAAGATTTTCCTAAGTAGATATGGCGACAGATTCTTGCTGAATTGAGCCGATCGTCCTGGCCGAAACAAATCATCCAGGACGATGTGTTTTGCATAAAGACGGCTGCTTTAATGAGGATGCCCTAATTAGGGTTTCTACTTTTGTCAGATCGTCCAGGACGATATAAATATCGTCACGGACGACGTTACCAAAAAATAGAAATCTTTTAGGGCACAACAGAAAATCTTTCCAGTTACAAATCATCAGATGCCACACCAAATACAACAGACTCAAGAAAGGAAAAAGGATTACAAACTGACACAAACTTAGTCTACACAATCTTGAGCTGGTTCTAAATTGCAGTTTGATCTTGTGAACCTGAAACGTTAGCACAAAAGGTAATCGTAGAGAAATAAGGAATGTTTGCTATCATCAAAATCATAAACCATGATCCGCAACATATCATGGAGAACAAATTGAAGAATGTTCAGCCAGTTAAGGGAAATCTGGAAAAACCAAATGAATATAGTTTGGGTGGTAATAATCAGTTACTGTTGAAGGGTTGGACAAAGAAGAGTATTGGCCGTGGATGTTGGTGAAATATGGTAAGAAGAAGCTTTATAGTAATAATCAAAGGAAGCCTACACAACGGGAAGACAGCAAAAGAATCTTTGTACCATTGAAGAGGAATAATATAAGAGATGGTGAAAACATGGAGAAAGAGAATGCTGTGAATCTGGAGACAAAGAAGCAACAACTTATCATCAGTGAGAAAGACAAACCAGGTCCTGCTACTTCAGAAGTTCTGTTAACCAGGAATTCTCTGGTACTCAACGATGGAAACAGTTTTAGATCTCTTGTGGATCTTGAAGAATAAGGGGAGATTGTATAAATTACTGAGAAAGGAGTAGATGATAAAGAGATCAAATCTGTTAATAATGATGAAGACACAACAACTGATGATATCAAGAGAAGTATAGAAACAGAATTCCCTGGAGATGGAGCTTTTGTGAATAATGGAAGTGGAGGAATGGAAGGTTATTCTAAATCAACAAAAAAAGAGGATTTCTAAACAATTGAGGAATTTGGGACCTATCAGTTCTTCTAACAGATCAAGGAGATTGGAGCTTGAAGGGAAAGGTAACATGGAGATGTATCCCCCTATTCCCATTTAATGTATTCCATCGCATTTTGGAATTGTAGAGGAGCAAGGAAGAAGAGTGCTTCTCCATATCTTAGAGAATTTGTAAAATTACATTATGTGTATTTCTTGGGTTTGGTTGAAACCAAAATAAACTCAATAGATAGAATGGAAGTTAATCTTTTGATTGGAGATGAATGGGATTTTGTTTATGTTCCATCATCTGGATTATCTGGCGGAATGGTGATTCTATGGAGAAATAAAATTGCTGAATACTCAGTTATTGACTACTCTTCTCAAGTTGTCATTGTTGATTTGAAGGTGCCAAACAAATTTCTGTGGAGGATTGCTACAGTGTATGGAAGCATATATGTGCAGAAGAGAAAGGAATTATGGGATATGTTGAATAAATATTCAGTTGAAGATGTACCTATGGTAATAGGTGGTGATTTCAATTGCATTTTGGCTAAGGAAGACAAAATTGGTGGTAGGAGATTTCTTTTCTCCCAAGGACCAAGGAATATGAAAAATTGCTTGATGGAAAATGATCTTCATGAAGTGGGATTTATTGACCCTAAATACACTTGGTGTAATAACAAAAGTAGTGGAGCTAGAATTCTTGAAAGATTGGATAGGTACTTCATTAATTTTAAAGCAATGAGCTCCTCTCAAAGGTTGGTGGTAAGACATTTAGCTAGAATAGCCTCAGATCATTATCAAATTATTCTAAACATTCTTGACTCTTTCCCTCAAGTCAAAAGGAATATCAAGTTTGAAGATTGTTGGGTTTCTTACAAAGCTTCTTTTGCGGCGGTGAAGAAAGAATGGAGCAGAAATTATCAAGGTGATAGTTCTCAAGTGCTTAATAAGAATTTTCAAAAATCTTTGAAATCTCTATTCTATTGGAGCAAGGCCAAACTCAAGGACCTTAACAAACTAAAAGAGGATCTTATGGTTGAAATCTTGGAGCTACAAAACAAAGAACCTACTTATGGAATCCTCTCAGAATTTGATTGCTGGAAACATAAAAATAAGGTTAATTAGGTGAATTCTATAATGGCTAGATTGAATGATTGGTGGAAGCAAAGAGCCAAAGTGAAGTGGCTTGTGGATGGAGATAGTAATTCAACGTTTTTTCATTCTTTTGCTAGTGCAAGAAGGAATTTAAACAAGATTATAAAAGTTAAAGATGAGTTTGGAGAAATGGTGGAAGAGCAAAATCTGATTGAAGAAACTTTTTTCAAATTTTTTGATAAGAAGTGGGAAGCTAAGAGCTGTAAGCTTCACGGGTGGCCAATTGTTACTAGCTTCTTGAATGACACAGATAGAAGGTATCTGGATGCAGAATTTGCTGTTGAAGAAGTGGAGAGAGTGCTGAAATAATTGGTTGGCAACATCTCACCTGGCAAGGACAGCATTACTTATTCTTTCATCAAGGCATATTGGAATATTATAAAAGAAGATTTCTGGAATGCTTTCAATCATTTCTTTAGCAATGGAGTTTTAAAAGAATATTGGAAGGAAACTATTGCTCTAATCCCAAAGGTATCAAATCCTCTTTTACCTTGTAATTATAGACCTATTAGTCTTTGTAATTTTGTTTACAAAGTGGCAGCTAGGGTGTTACTAAATAGGTTAATTGAGGTTATTCCTAAGCTTATATATAGAGAGCAAGCAGCTTTCATCCGAGGGAGATCTTTATCAGATTATGTGTTGATTGCTCAAGAAGTCTGCCACAAATTTAGATTCTCCAAAGCAGCTAAAGATATGGTTTCTTTTAATGTAGACATGGAATAAGCTTATGATTCAATGTCTTGGAATGCTCTTAGAAATGTATTGGACTATTTCAACTTTCCTCCAAAAATTTCTAAACTAGTCATGGAATGTGTGGAAGATCTGAAGTTTGCTTTGATTATCAATGGAAGATACTCTAGTTAGATTCAAGCAAATAGTGGTTTTAGACAAGGATGCCCATTGACTCCAACTCTCTTCATTGTTTGTGCACAACTTCTTTCCAATGCTTTTGCTTAAAACTCAAGTGGTATTAGAATAAATACCAATGGACATAGAATATCACATTTATTGTTTGCTGATGATGTGGTGATGTTTTCCAAAGACAATAAAAAAGCAGTTAAGAAGGTGAAGGAGATTTTATATGATTTTTGTAATTGGACAGTCCAACGTGTTAATTTAAGCAAGTCTTCCATGTTGTTTGGGAAACACGTTGGCAGAAGGAAGAAGAAAAACATTGCAAGGATAATGGGCTTCAAAACTGTCAAGGAATTCAACTACTTGGGGATAAAGATGGCATTAAGGAGACTTTCATATGATGACTTTCAGTTCATCATTGATAAAACAATGAAGCTACTAAGAATACGAGGGAGAAAAATCCTATATGTAGCTGGTAAAATTACTTTAGTAAAATCACTTTTGTTATCTTTACCAGCTTTCTATGGTTCTCATTCCCTATTACCAAAATGATTTCTTGATGAGTTAGATAAAATCTACAGGAATTTTGTTTGGAGCAAATCAGATGGGTCTACGGGTTTGCATTATGTTTGTTGGGAAGAAATGTGAAAACCTATGAGCAAAGGAGGAAGAGGATTGTTTTCATGTGCTTCTAAAACTTCTGCATTAAGAACAAGATTGGCATGGAGGTTCTTTCAAGACAGGGATTCTCTTCTACATGAGGTGTTTGCTGCCAAGTATGGTGAAAAACTTGAAATGTGTAACAATAGAGTTAATTGTTCCTCTTCTTGGAAATTATTGAAGGATGGTTGTAAAATGCTTAAACCAAATGTTAGATGGGCATTGGTTGATGGTGAAGATGTAGATGTATTTAAATACATTTGGATCTTGGATAAGTGCATCAATCATTGGCCTACTTTTATTGTCCTCATGAAGATGAAGCTGTATTTATAAAAGAATTTATCCAAGATGGTTGCTGGAATGTACCAAAATTACTTAATATGTTTGGTACAGATTTGGTTTCTCTTATACTTCAGGTGAAGATAGCTCAAGACGGTGGGGGAGATCAGATCGAACTTGTTCAGCAAAAATCTGGGTTGACAATTGCTGGAATGGCTTTCAATGCTTTGAATCAACATAGCAGAGAATTTCAACAATGTAATTGGTTTAAAAAATGAAAGCTGAACGCTCGGGTGGATCTGTTCTGGTGGAGGGTGTTCAAAAATGTCATTCCAACATTCAAATTCTTACAACAAAGGAGGCTAAGGGATAATGCTTCTTGTCCAAGAGGTTGCAAAGCAATTAAAGACACTGAACATGTTTTGTGTACCTGTTTGAAGCTAAAAGAGGTAATCAACCATCTTAATCATTGGGGATTTGGTATTCCTGTTTTTCAAAGATATGAAGAAAGTACTATATGGCTGGAATCGATAGCATTGAAGAAAGGTTTCTTAGCAAACTTATATTGTAATGCAGTTTTCTTATCTTGGAAAGCTAGGAATAAGAAAATTCAAGAAGGTATGGAGGAAAGTCCAACTTTTATTACTTCTAATGCAATATGTTATACATCTATACTTCATAACTATATCCATTTCTCATTTAGCAACTGGGATGTCAATCAATCGAGTAGATTGTCTAATTCTTGGCAACCCCCTCCACCCGAATGGATAAAAGTTAATGCAGATGCTTCTCTTCTACCGACCTATAAAGCAGGCATTGCTAGAATTTTCAGAGACTATAAAAGCTGATTTTTATTTGCTTTTGGAATTAATTGTATTCATTAGGATATTGCAAAATTGGAGCTTCTTGCAAGCCACTCTTTGAAGGAAGTAATCAAGGATTGGATGTTCAAGTATAAAGGAATCATAATAGAAGGTGACAACTCCAACATCATATCTTTTTTGCAAAAGATTTGGAAAAAAGCTAACCTCATTGATAAAGATCTTGACTTTCTCAAAGAATTTTGCTTTGCTATTTTCAATTGTATTAGTAGAGATAGCAACAAGTTAGCTAATTATTGTGCTAACTTAGCTATTTTTAATAGCTTTTGTTGGGATGATGTCTCTTTGAATAAGGTTCCTCCTTCTTTCTTCAAGATTTTGAAGGAGGAATCAACCATTTATATGTATCATTGCTTTAGTTTTTAATATAAGCTTGCTTCAGATTTTCTTTCAAAAAAAAAACCATATTTGGTCGAAAGAGCATCGATATAGGGTGTCATTTATATAGGTGAATGATAGAGCTCTCTTTCTAATTTGAACAGTGAGAGATCGATTATACAGAAGCCTATCATGCTTCAAATATTCAATAAAGGGCACCTTACAATTTGACTCTTCCTTAATCACAAGCACTATAAGGGTCTGATCGGGAGAAGATAAATCTATGGGGCATACGGCTTGACGATACTGGACAAAAATAGATACTGGGTTTTGTATTCAGGTCAACCAATTTATTTTCTAACTTAGCCAAGGCATCTTCTTTACCGTTTGCAGATCTAGGGACTTTGGCCAAAGTCACTTCAGGAATTAAGCATAACAGCTACATTGCTTTATTATGACATGCTAGGAGCTCAGGCTTAAGTACTTTGAAGACTCCTGCTACTTGATTTATGATTAGTTGGGAGTTTCTAAAGTTCTTTACCCACATAATATTCATCTAAATGGTAAACTCTAGTTCCAAAATAAGAGCTTCATACTCAGCTTCATTATTAGTATGAGGTTCTAAGAGACTATAGGAGTATCGAAGAAAGTGAGCTTAAGGGGATATAAAAATAAGGCTCAAACCTATCCTAACTGTGGGAGTTCCATTTTGATGTAAAGCATTAAAAGATGATGCACCGTCAAAGTAGAACTCCCAAGTAGGGGACTCCTATTCATTCACACTCATGATTATTTAATCTAGAGAAAAATAGATCATCTTTCAGTGGAAAATCTATAAGAATCAGGTGAGCTACAAAAAAGTCAGCCATATCCTGACCTTTGATGACCCACTGAGGGATAAAAGTAATATCAAAATATAGTAGGATCATAGACCAGCATGCTAAATGACCTAAGAGGGTCAGACGGGTAATCAAATACTATAAAAGGATGACTCGAGAGATCAGGTTAACCTTATGTGAAAGCATATAATTTATAAGCTTCTGTACCACAAAGATCAAAGCTAAACATTGATTTTCCATCATCGTGTATTTCAACTCTACAGGTATCAACCACCTACTAAGATAGTACAAGGCATTTTCTTTATTTTTTTATTCTCTTGAGCCAACAATAAACTTAGGGATTCATCCAGGACCATAGTGCAAAGGATCAATAGCCTACCTGGAATGGGAGCAGCTAAAATAGGGTGGCTCATCAGTTAGCACTTTATACTCTCAAAGGCCTCCTAACAATGCTCATCCTAATGAAAACAAGTATCCTACTTCACTAGGGTAGCGAAGGGATGACATCTACCATAAAGATTGGAGATAAATCTTCATAAGAAAGTGAGCTTAACCTAAAAAAGATCTCAATTTGGTAAGATTCTTATAAGAATTCATATCCACTATGGCTTTGATTATGGAAGGATCAATTTCAATGTCACGATAACGAATTATAAACCCTAGGAACTTTCCTGCACTAACACCAAATGCATACTTTAAAAGATTCATCTTTAAATCATACTTGCGTAGGTACTCAAAAATGATTTATAGATTTTAATGGTGATCTCCACAGACCTTACATTTGACCACCAGATCATCCACATAGTGGTCAACTTGCTCGTGTATCATCTCTCAAAGATAATAGTCATAGCCCCAATATTCTTGTGACTGAAAGACATCACCTTATTATAGAACACGCCTATAGGCATGTAGAATGCAATAAATTTTTCATCTTCCGATGCCATCTTTATTTAATTGTAACCAGATGAACCATCCATGAAGGAGAAAATGCTATGGGATGATGATATATCCAACATAAGCTTGGGAATAGGAAGAGAGAAATCATTCATAGGCAAGCCTTATTTAAATTACGAAAGTTGATATATACATGAATTTTCCAGCTCTTCTTCCAGACCGAAATAATATTTATAAGCCAAGT